AAGGACATCTGGAATACCGTATACAGTTCTGAAGCCTGTTGGGAATCCAGATGTGCAGCATGCCGTTATCGCACGGACAACCTAGCAGCTCTTGCAGATAAATCTGGATATGTAAAGTGCTTTCTTAACATTTCAGGCCTATCTTTGATATTCCCCAATATTTCCTGGCATATCAAGAGAGGTTTGGCATGGTAACCATGGAGGAGGGGTGAGCAGAAGATGGTGATAATATGGGATTCAGCTTTTGGTGTTGGGAGAACATCCACCCAGTGATCTGTATCTTGTTCGGGTGGAAATATGGTGTTAATTATCTTCATGACAGATGGATCTGGCAATTCATTTCAGCTGCTTTAGATCATACATTCCTCTGGCTGGTAGACCTTCAGAAAACAGAGAAATAGATCTTCAAGATGAAGGAAGGAATGCCATAATAAGGACAGATGTCATCATGAAATTTTAGTGTTGCATTCAGCAGGGACTTAAGTTTACCCATCATCATTATGATCATCATATTTTTCCAATCCTCTTTTCAGCTGGGCCCCTATCCTGTAACCTCCATCTTCCTATTGAGTTCAGGGGCTGAAAGGCACACCAGTATTTGGCTGTAATGAATTACTGCTCATTATAAATAGCAACTGCTGATCCTCCAGCTTTTCTGCTTGTTCATACTTGTAGGAGCCTTCAGACTAAGAACCGTTTGCCATCTCCTTCAACTACTCATCATCTGGAGTTCCTGACAAGTCACTCATCATATGCCCTTCTGACTGGACCAGTAACAAGGGCAACAGCATCAATAAAGCAGACTTTGAAACAAACAGTTGTTTCAGATGAAGTACACGATGTGCTAAGGACCCCTGGACATGCCACCACCACTCTCCAGCTACCTGCAAACTTGATGATGGCAATCTCTCAGTAATTTTGCAATCACTCCAAGAAGCCCAAGTGTTATCTGCACTCTTGGGTACAGTTAAACCACAGTTTAACACGAATGGAACTCCTGATTCTAATAAAATACATGAAAATGTATTTAATTAAATAACAACTGGACACAGATGACAACCAGTCCCCTCCAACCATTATCAAGCAACAGAGAAGGTCCAGCCATAGAAAACAGCTTTAAAATACCCCAAAACTGAGAAGAGAACCATATTCCCTGTATGAGAAAACGAAGTTTTTCTCTCAGTCTCCCTTTTCTTTCTTTTCAAGGAGTATCTCTAGGTGCCACTTAGGTACTAGTGTAGTCAGAGTAGGAATGGCTCAGCTGAATATAGCAAAGGACAACATACTTGTGTCTCAGCGATGCTCAACTCTGCAAAACCCAAATCCATACTAGGGCTTCATGCTGGGATTCCTTTTAAGGTCACTTCAGTCCATCCCTTTGTCTTGAAAAAAGCCTACAGGTTAACACCACAAAGATGACCTGATCCATCATCGTCCACTACATTTTAAGGTTTCCTACAAAGTCTGTGGCAGAAGAGTTGGGAAAATTCCCAATTCTTAGAAACTTTTCCAGTTATTCTGACAACTTTCCAAACCCAACCTCAGTGTCTCTTGGCTTGGCCTGCCAGAGGGGAGAGCACAGATCTCACCAGCACGCCCGGCTGCTCACACCTCGCATATTTGGCTACCGACAGTGCAATGGGGAACATGGGCTGCTCCCCCGCCATGGGACTGACCTGTGACATCCTCAGCACAGCATCTCATTGTGGGCACTCACTTCCCACTGAGCTCTTTAAAAAAAATCAGTGCTTGCTACAAACGAATGCAAGAGCAGTGATTACCTTCCAACTGCAGCCCTGTGAGTGTAAAAAGCGCTACAGTAAGGGCAAAGGGAGGGCAAAGCCATTACCATGTTCACCATTGTGACTATCTTGCACATTATTTCTAGAGAACAGCCAGAGTGCAACCCTCTACGTACGAGCACAACCCACACTTGGGATTAAATTGTGAGCTGAGACTTTGAGACTTGCAGATGAGGCTCCCTCCTTATCACTCGCTGTGGTGTGAAGACTCAGCAGTTCTGTGCTGCACCTGGCCTGACCTCTTTCCCCCCCCTCCCCACTGATTTATTTAGCTTTCTGCTCTCTTCCTAGGCTCTGACTCTCATTTTGTATCACAGATACCAGCAGTTCTGGCTGATCATACTCAGTGGAATTGAGTCTACCTGGCCTGCTTTCTGTAAGGGCCAAGGATATGGTCCTGTCCCTTAACTTCAGCCAAGAGCTGTGAAGAAAATTCAGCTTGAGAACAGAAGGTCTGCCATTATTTTGTATTTCTTAATAAACAGGTTTCCACTATTATAGTTATTTACTCTCCTCTGCGGAGCGCCCAGTGCTGACTAGGCAAGGGCTAACCATTAAAGGCTGCCTCTCAGCTTAAAGAGAAGTTCCTTCTCTTTGATGGGAAGAAGGTAGGAGAAATGAATTTTTCTTTCAGCATTCCACACCTGGGGAAAGGATCTTGCTCACAGATAACAGTGCAAGCAAATATTTCCTTTGGGAGAAAAAGAGAAAGTGAAGATCAAGGTCAGAGGAGGCAGGAGTAAAGATATGTGACTGCCTTCAAAATAACCTTCCATAGAACATGTGGGGGTGTCACTTAACATGGAAAACATGAAAAAGCATAAAGGAGGGATAACAAGCTTGGGGCTTACAGAGAGATAAAGGGGCTGCAAAGTCTGGTTGCACAGATATGCTGAATTACAGCTGTACAGAATGTGACAAACAGGCAGACTGCATTATATATACATAGGAGCACAGCCCAACACCTCTGTCCCTGACTCCCCTGAAGCATCTTCCCTTCTTTCTTGCTTACAAAGTATAAGGACTATAGTTACTCTTTGCACAAGATGCTAATGAAAATTCATAGAATGGTTTGTGTTGTAAGGGACCTCAAAGCTCATCCAGTTCCAACCCCCTGCCATTGGCAGGGGCACCTTCCACTAGAGCACGTTGCTCCAAGCCCCTTCCAACCTGGTGTTGAACACTGACAGGGATGGGGCATTCTGCCTCTATCACAGAACCACAACTACACACAGAGATTCAACGAGTTTACTGAATCTCAAGGTATGGCCCAGCAGCAGCCTGGACATACATCATCAACCTATGAATCTGCATGATACCCCCAAACCCACAGGATCTGGATCCCTGTTGGCACATCTGTGTATTAGGATGCCAAAACTCAACTCCCATTTCAAACTTTCCAATGAATGCGTAAGTACTGAACCAAAAACCAGTCACAAGCGCTTAAGAATCTGCATCTCCTTACCCTGTGACTAAATCAAGATTTCACTTTCCATGTGTCTTATTGAAGCTTACGGTCAGGATTTTCCCTGTTGTCCCTGGAAAGACACAGATGAGCTGAGGCCAGCTAGACTGGAGCTACCGATCACAGGTGGAGCCCAGAAAGACTCACTTCAATGCTATGTGTGATTTTTAGCTGGCGATGTAACTAGGTGAGACACAAGACAAGTACAGTACTGTTACCCCTTGTGATTTATCCAATGAAAACTGTCATTACTCCCCGGCTACTGCTTTAACTATTAGAGCACCCTTTCACTTCAGCTACCTGTAAGTGACCCACAAAATCATAATACAAGCCCAAGAAACAGAACTCAGAGCACAGGCTATATTTTGGGCTTTTTCTTTTCTCTCACATTTTGTTATGAACTCGAAATTGGACCTGTTTCTGTGGGAACTTGTGCTAAGGTATGCAAATATTTCAACCCAAACCAGTCCCATTTTCCAAGGAGAGTGGGCCAGGTTTCAGGCAAAGATGCTTTCACAGCAAAACCATGGGAAAATTCACCATTTTCCGTGTTTCCAAAATGCCAATATTCATCTCATGTTAAGTGCCAGCAATTGTTGGAACAAGGCTACAACCCAAGAAAGCACTTCAGCACATGCTTAACTTTCAGCACATGAGTAATCTCAGTGATGTCCTGGGTTTCTGTTTTTGTATTCTCTATTGTTAGCTACCTTGCATTTTTAAATCCATAGGGGCAATTTGCATCTTCTGAGCTGTATAATTGGGCCACGAAAGGGCTGGGAGCTCATGATTACTGAATTGTTAATTACTCATTTTTATTATATTTAAATATGCTTTAGAAGACCATAATGATGTATGCTTCCTTGGTATTAGCTCTACTAATTAGATCATCTTCTCTAAATTAGAGTGCAGTTTTCTTAGCAGGTTTCCTTTTATCTGGGGTTCATTTTTCAAGAGAGTTTCATGTTGTTCCCACAGATGAGTGAATCATTTCCAGGGAATCATGCTACACAGAGGATGTTTTTTCTTGCTGCTGTAGAATGCTGATGGGTAGATCATGGATCTCCTTGAAATCAGTAAATATTTGGAAGTTGGACTTTCCTCAACAATCATGCATTCCTTGATGCATAGCTGCATCTGGGATGAAACTCCATTCCTACTGCAACAAACTAGTGTATTTGGCATGTTTACTAGGTTAGAATGACCTCACTCCAACACAATTTGTTTTAGTGACACATGAAAGCAGAAAATGAAAGTGGATTAAATACATTTATAGACTGGAACTGAAAGTGTATTTTGTTGCCCTCTTTCTTTAGCAGTGAATTGGTGCTCCAGCACTGAGAGCCATCCTCTCTCCTTCTCCATCAAAAATATTACTTTCAGAAGATTTCTACGGAAATGATTCTATGTTACTCCAGAGGTCCTCATTTAGGTTATCTTAAACATTTAACTTATCATAGCTTAGGTAGTTTGCAATATCCGTTCCAGTTAAGGAAAGCCTGAAATTTATGTCTCTGCCCAGAAATATCTCAAAAACTATCTGTGAAATCTCAGGCTTATTTCATCTGAGTATGATAATCCTGCTTCCACAGAGAAACTATGAGAACATCCTCTCTTGGTGACACTTGGTCTGTCTATCCAACCGTCAGTGCTGGACAGTAGAAGAATGAGCAGAAGAGGTTACTGTTTTTCCCTGAACAAGTCTATTCAGGTCTCTGGGAAGCAGTACTTACGTGTCAACAAATCTCCTGCTGAGGTTTGAGATGACAATTGGAGATCCAGACTGGAAAGGAGGGTCCCGAACCACTTTGTACTGGATGGGTCTGCAGTCCGCACACAGCGTGCTCTGAGGGACAGAGCTCAGCATGGCAGCATCAATTTCCAGGTGCTCATCCAGAGTGTAGATCTGGATCCCGTACACCTCCTCTCCCACTTGTCCCGCATCCAGCTTTATGGTCAATGGGATGTCACAGAAGACGTTCTGTGGCCCGAGAGAAATGTTCTTGCCACTGATGGTGAGCAACTTGATGTCGTTCACCGCCCCGCTGGAGTCCCAGTCAGGGGAAACAAATGTCACCCACACTGTGAGGGACTCTGGAGTCAGGGGATAGCGGAATTCCAACTGAAGGTAGCAGCCCTGAGGCTCGGGACAGGCCGGGGGCACCGTGTGTTGGTTGACAGCTGAGTTGGGACTCCATGTTCTGACACTGGATTTACAAGGCTGCTCAACATCAGGGTGCCCTGGAAAGAAAGAAGCAAAGGCAGGGCTTTAAGAGCTATGGGTTTACCACTGGCATCAGTCTTCAAAGACAAACGTGGCAGAAGAGCAAATCTGTCAAGGAAACTGTTTACTTGAGCAGAACAGGCATGGCTAGCATGGAGAGGAGGAATATAACTCCACTGTCTCCTGGCTGGGTGAGAGATGCAAACCCAGCTTAAGTGCCCAGCCAGACTGGACACTCCACAACACATTGTGCCAGTGCATCTGGTCCTGTATTTGCTATTTCTAGTGCTTTCTCCTGTGCCAAACAATATTTTCTGCTCCTTCTACTTGGTACTTTACCTGACAAATAGAGTCACTTTGCCTTCAGTTCACCTCGGTGCTCCTACTTATTCCCTTGCCTCTCACTCTAAAATACAACCTTGTTCTCTACAACAAAGACAAGAAAAGAGCTTTTGTTGATTCCAAGCAGCTGTTGCACCGTGCTGTTGAGGGACAACTCCTATGCCATTTACAGGCTCATCTATCTTGTTGTGTAAGACCCCTCTTTTTGGAGTGACACGGAGCACAGGACTGAGCTGTCTCTTTGCACTCGGTGCAATGAAATGAGCACTTTCTCACCATTGGCTATGTTCAACTGCATGGGAGGTATTACTAAAAACTAATGAAAGCCACAATGCTTGCTGGGTTCCCAAATACTATGGTAACATTACAATTTGGCACCGAGTCATGGACTGCAAGATCCAGAGAGGTCAGATGGGTGGAACAGTTGGTAACAGAATCCAGTGAGAGCTATGAATTCCCTCTTCCTTCCCAAATAATCACACAAAAAGGGAGCAAGCATGGGAGGGAGAAGGCAAAGTACAGAAAAGAAGAAAGGGAAAAGTAAAGATAAAGAAAGGTAATGAGAGGAGAGAAATGGAGAAGGCAGAGGGGAAAAAAGAGAGCACAGCTGTTTGCAACTGAGGAAGAAAGCAAGATAAAGCACTGGGCAAACATGAACAAACAGGACATCACTACTAATTTGAAGAGGAAAGGGCAATGTGGGAAGGTTATTCTTAATTGTCTGTGATCCAGTGAAGTGTTAGAAATGTGCCTTTTTTGTCAAGGATAAACGGCGCAGGGAATTCTCCACTTCAGACCAAATGAACCCAGATGCAGAATAGATTTCCTGGTGTCTCAGGCAGTCACCCCAGTGATCCAACCAGTTGTCCTGCAGATGCACAGCTTTTAATGCTTCTCCCTCACCCTCACATCCCATCACCCTCCTCTCCTCTGCACATGCCACAGAGCAGTGGGAATGCCACTAACCTCAGGATCTGGAGAGACCTCAGCAGCGATACGTTGTGAAGAAAGCCAGAGGTCCATTTCAATTCAGGCTTCCCCCCCTGGCACACACTGTGCATGATCAGAAGGTGTTTTTTATCCCTGCTATCTCAGAGGGCTTTGGAAAGATCCATGAATCTCATCACTGCCATCTTGCATCAGTGGCTCACAGCCCAGTATGGTTCTGAACCACCAGGGTTCCTGCTGTTTCACCTCTACCACTTCAATGCTTCTGTAAGACTTAAATAGTGAATGAACCTACATGTTCTGATAGATCAGGATGTGATCACTGGAGTTACATGAACTGGACTCAGCCTCCAGGGCGTTGAACAACCCAAAATGGGAGCTTGATTGTAGCCATCCATAGATGAAAAACCTCAATGAAGTTGAGATAGAAACCTTTTCTAAACTATCATCAAACACTTAGACCTGGGTAAGAAACATCCATTTAATTGTGGAAGAGGATGGAAACCCATTCCGTGAAATCCCAGATTCCTAGAGATTGATAAATACTATGAATATTACAAAAAATTTTGTTTGCAAAAAAAATAGGTTCTGAAAACCCTTTGGCTTATGAGGTCGCCAGTAAGATCGGTCCTAGAAGAGCATCTCATGCAACATCATGCCTTGCCTAACACAACATGTGAACTTGAGGTTTGTGAGGAGAAGCCAAACCCATCTCCTGGTTAGAGAGCTGGACTCTAATGTCCAACTGAGACAATTCCACTTGCAAATACAGAATGAATCACTCTCAAGTGAAACACTGGCTACTGGGAAAGGCAGGGCGCTAGAGCAGCCAAAGGGAGCAACATTTTGCATTACATTATCACACTTCTCTTAGTCAATAGTGAGCCAGGCAGTGGGAATTGACTGATATATGCATATATTGCACAGAAAGCAAAGGCACTTTGGGTTGGAGCCAGAACCACCTTTCTTATATAAAAATCCCCTTTGACTGCATTGTGGCAGGGTTGTAATGTTTGTTTGCCTAGATGGTGCTGCTGGTGAGAATCCAGGTAAGTCAGAGCTTTCCTGATCCATGTGAAGGTAAAGAGTAACCAGAGCTGCCTCATCTCCAGTGCCTTCCCACAGCCACTGCCAAGGAGCAAACAGCCCCTACATGAGGGGCATGACTAGCTGAGAAAGAGACATAAAACATCTCATCCCAGAGGGTTGGACACCACCACGCTCAGGCAGAAGCTGGACATTAGGAAGGGTGCATTCTGCAATGGGCATGGCTCACACGTAGGCCAGACCACAGCTGGTGTCAGCTACCTGGAGTAACTGAGCAGCACCACCACTATGAGGCCTCAGGAAAATGAAATCAAACCAACCAGGTTGAGAGCTGCTCCGGAGACATGTGAGAAGTGTGGATTTCTGGTAAGAAGTTGGAGTACTACGAAACATTTTCCATGAGTGTCGTCTCAAATTGTAAAATGAGTTCATTTTGGCCATGCTCATGCCTCTTTTGTATTCACTTTCCATGAACACTCAAGCAGCGGAGATTTACACACATGAACGCTTGCAGAAAGTGGATTTAAAGCTTGCGTGCTTGAGTACTCGCAGATAGACAATTAAAGAAGCCAGACAATGATCTAACTGTGCTATTTGTAACTCAGACCAAGTGCGAATAGGCAAAGATCCTGAACGTCAGGGAGTGTGCTAGTGATGACAGAAAATTAGAGAGCACCAAATACCATACACTTGGTACTTTTTCTACCCTGAAGTGGAGACAACTATTAACGTAGTAAGGGGATAGGGTTACCAAATTTTCTTTCCAGAGCAATGGCACCACGACAATTGTAGGCGACAGATAAGGATCAGGCTGCACCTTTCAGAATTAAGAACATGCAGGCACACACTGTAAGAAGAGGAAATTAAATGCAAAATGCAGCTGAGTAATAAATCTTTGAGCAGCTCAGTTTCTCTAGGAATGATGCTGCTGGCAAGACGTGTGCGATGTGGAAGGTTTCAAATCAGAGCTCATCGGAGAGATTTTGACAGAACTGCATATCTCAATGGAATATGAAGTGCTCTCAAAAGCAAAACACACTGACAAATTTGGGTTATCTGGCCAAAATTTTATTTTGAGAAAACAGGAAGAAAGTTCTAACAATATTGGAATATTGTGTTTTGACATTTTGGGAAGAAATTGTTTCACTTTTGCCCTTTGAAACACTTTTCAGTTGGATATTAAAAGTTGCTTTTGCCCTAGATTATATACTAAAAAGGGATATTTTAAAATGTCATAATTTAACCAAAGTTCCTGAAAGAGGAATGTTATGAGCTAAACAAAACATTTTGGCCAGCCTCAAACACTTTTTGTTTTTAATTTTCCTTCATGAAGACTTTCAAAAGTTTCAGGTTTTGTTCCAAACGAAACCAGGTTTCAAAGTCTTATAATACTTGGCTAAGTGGAAATTCCACCTTCCACCCTGCACTACTACTGTGAGTGATCCAAATTTAGCTAATCCTGTTTACTTCTTAATCCAGTCACACTTGTAGCCACAGCACTGCTTCCTAGGATGGAGCTCTTGAACGATATCCACCCAAGGGGCAGGTGTGCTCTGTGCCATACCTGGTACCCCTGCCCCTCAGGTGTCATAGACTCATAGAACAGTTTGCATTGGAAGTGACTTTAAAGCTCCTCCAGCTCCAACCCCTGCCACGGGCAGGGACACCTTCCACTAGAGCAGCTTGCTCCAAGCCCCTGTGTCCAACCTGGCCTTGAACACTGCCAGGGATGGGGCAGCCACAGCTTCTCTGGGCACCCTGTGCCAGCGCCTCAGCACCCTCACAGGGAAGAGCTTCTGCCTTATATCCTATCTAAATCTACATTCATTCAGTTTACAGCCATTCCCCCTTGTCCTGTCCCGACATGCCCTTGTTAAAAGTCCCTTTTCAAACGCTGGAGTGAACTGAAACCTCTGTTGGGTTCCCACCCTTGGAGATGGGTGCACAAGGAAGAGGGCGCTTGCCCACACATCTTATCCCATCAGGTGGCAGGGATGCAGCTTGCTGCACATGCTGTCCTTAGGACCCTTAGGGATGGCTCTTGAGTGCCATCACTACATATATCACCATATTAGCCTTCAAATAATTGTCCTTATAGAATAACTCCCAACTACTCCAGCTGCAGAACAGAAAAGCCCTTAATGTAAGGAGGTTTTTATATAATGAGTTTTCAAAATCCAGGGATTGGCCTTTGAGCTCAGTGAGCCCACCTGTGTGTTTACAGCGAAGTGTGCTGCTCCCAACGGAATAGCTTGTGATGGACAGACTGAAATAACACTATGTTCTTTTCAAACCATAATCTGTGATTACTGAGCTCTACCTGGTATTGAGTATGCTCAACCGCATCCACCTGCTTACGTAATGCAAGAAGACTGCATGATGGACATCTAATGGCATTGTACAACCAGCCCTACAGACCATTCTCCCTGCACCACATTAAGAATGACTTGCAAAACACCCTGACCTAGACAGGGCTTGATACAGTCCCCTGTGTTGATGCTGTAGAGTACTTGCCCAAAGGGCAAGCTCCATTCAGCCTGTCTGCTGGTGCAGCCGCTGCTATTGAACGCAAATGAAAGCAGCAGAAATCAGACCCAGTGCAATGCATTTCTTGCAATTCTTCACTTTTGGAGTTGGAGTAGGAGTAAGCGGCTCCCCTGAGGGATTCAGCTGGCAGCTGTGAATGGTCAGCACCTCTTGGCACTGTGCTGCTTTATGAAATTCAGGTTCAGCTCCCAGAATTCATTTAATTCATGGGCAGGGGCAGGACATGGGAGCCAAAACACAGGTATTTCAGCCAGCAGCATTACCTCAGGGCACAGCGCAGTCATCTGTCCTCTGGTTCTGCATAAACTGTCACTCTCTCACGGATTTCCCCACTATCTTTGGGGGTCTCCTTTCATTCTGTCTCATCTTCTCCTCCACCACGTCTTTATCCCACGCCCTGTGACTCACCTTCTGCTTCCCGAGGGCTCCAGTGTCCCGAGGGATCGCAGGGCATCGGAGAGGAGGCGCTGAAGGCGTACTGCACCAGGACTCTTCCTTCCGCACACAGATCACATGCTGATCCCACTTCTCTAGGAGGCCAGGAAAACAGGAAAACACACCAACTTAGTAACAGCTGAATGAGCTGCTTATTCATCTCTATTAAAAGCAATAAAACTTAGAATTCAGTTCCACTTAACCCTCTTTTCTCAAGGCACTGACAAGAGTGTTTTCTGACACTGACCTTCTGTAGGTTTGGGCTAACAGCCTGTGTAGATGGCATCTGTGAGCCCTCCAATCCAACACAAAACAACAGCAACCTGTGAAAACATGCTCAGCTAGATTTCTTTTTTCTCCCCTGCACTACAACTGGATCAAACCGTGACAAAAGAAAATACATATTGCTTAGTGGTTAGAGCAGGGAAACTGGCCTCAGGAGATTTCAGATCTATTTCTGCTCCTGCCATGGATTTATTGCCGGAACTTGTAGCATCTTCAGGTTTGTATCTTCCCTGTGAGGGTGCTGAGGCGCTGGCACAGGGTGCCCAGAGAAGCTGTGGCTGCCCCATCCCTGGCAGTGTTCAAGGCCAGGTTGGACACAGGGGCTTGGAGCAAGCTGCTCTAGTGGAGGTGCCCCTGCCTGTAGCAGGGGTTGGAACTGGGTGAGCTTTAAGGTCCCTTCCAACCCAAACCAGTCTGGGATTCTGTGACTGTGAAGGCCGTGGGCTTACTGGTGATGAGAGGAGAGAGCAAAGTCCCAGGCTCTGAGAACACCAGGTAGAATTGCTTTGTGAAGCACAGCTATGTATGCAAGGACCTGCTTTTGGAGGTGCATCACAGCCCAGATCATTGCAAGCCTGGAAAAGGGGTGGGTTATGAACATGCAGAAAAGAACATGTCCTTAATCCTGGCAGCTTTGGCACCACTGCATGGATCCTTCTGAACTGGAACATCTTGCGGCTCCACACCATCCGATGGCATGACATGGCATTGAGAAAGGTACTTCACTGCCCAACACCAGCATTACTTCACCTACACAATACATCTAATACCAGCTACTGTCAATCAAGTACTATCAGCAGAAGCGGTTGAACAGGAAAGCCCGGTTAAACACTGAATCACAAATATTTTCATTAATGCATTCCCAAGATCAGGGTTTAAGCTGATGTAGACTGGAGTAACTCCAATATCTTCCATAACATTAAGCTGATTTCTATCAGCTGAGGATGCATCTCACACAGCTCAGCCCTACATTCCTCAGGGTCACAACATGTGGAACTGTGTACAACCTAGAAACTGTGGTTATTCATCCCAGTAAGTTGCTCGTGATTCAGAATTCATTGTTCTGATTTAAGGCAACTGCCCACTCAAAATGAAAGGAATTAATAATGTTAATAGTTAGATGCACCTAGGAAAGGCCTGAAGTTTTAGGCAAACACCGTGTGTAACACCCAGTGCACTCTTTAAGCTACCCAGGTAAGTATGGACTGAGTCAATTATTATAATTAGCATCAATTATTATAATCAGCTCCACGAATGTTACCCGTCCCCCATCGCGCGGGTTATTTCAGCACTGCTCTGCGAAGGGCACTGTGTTCCTAAGGCAGAAGCTATTTTGGATCCTCAGTGAGGACACCGGGACTGTAAATTTACTCTCACAGCCCTCCCAGACTGTTGGTGGTAGGGATGACACACGCTCAGCTGCTCCTCAGCTTAGCATCTCCTGTTTGTTGGCAGGGATCTATTTGAAAGTCAACTTTCTGTTGGCTTAATTAGGTGGAAGCAGGGATTGTCAGCGGGGGGTCTGGGAATGACATCGCTGGTAAAACTCGTATCCATTTCAACATGGCCCAGAGCCACCCCTACGAAGGGACCATGGATGATTGAACTCGTAGACGGTACAGAAAGGGATGCACCTGCTGAAAACATCTGAAGAGTGAAATGTGGCAATGGGGTGGAATACAGAAGAGGGAGGCAGAGCTGCCCTCCTCTTCCTTGCATGATCTGTAACACTGGTAAAGAATAAATTTGGGCACGTTGTGAATAACTTCCCTGTCTCACTTCACCCACCTGCACTATTGGTATGACACTGCCTCTCTACTTCATTTCTCAGCTACCTATTTAACAGCGGTTGAAAGGTCTAACTCAGCTTGCCTAAATGTTACATATAAATATGCGTATAAAAATCAAGAATCCAGAATAAAAGGTACAGGGAAATCAAAATGTACAATTCTTACGGTGCAGTTGCTTTTCAGATACATCCACCAACAGTCAGGATAGAAGTCCCTGCAATAATAATCTTCCAGTTCCGTACTCCTGCATTAGCACTTGGGCCTGGATGAGGACAGGGCTTTGAAAGCCAAGTTTCCACAATTAGGACTGCTTTTTACTCAAATTAGCAGCTATACAATTTCATCACAGGCTGCCATGGTGGAAAAAACTGTAGGCTTATGGACAAACATTTCCTTTTACCAGCAAGGACTTGGAGGTAAGAAGAATCACAAGGAGCATCATGTGGGAAAGGCTATGAGCAAACTTTCTCTTTTTACTTTTCCAATCTGGGAGCCAAACGCAACCCTGATGTAACTCCACTGGCTGAAAGGAGTTACACAGGGGATGACTCTTGGGTTAAAGCTTTTGGTCTTGAGACTTTTGCACACAAATCCTACAAAGAGCCATGAATGTCAAAACTAATTATGGAATCACATTTACAGGCTTGTGAAAATCTAAGCCAGATCCTTACACCTTATGCAGCCCCTGACATCAAGACAAAATGAGCGTGAATTGGTTCAAAACACTATTAATTAGGAACGATAGCATATCTGACACCTTAGACACCGATGCACATGACTCCCCGAAGTGCAGGGTAATGGAAAATCTAGACTTTTCTGTTTTCTAATAAGCCAAGTACTGGGGAAATTCCAGCTTACAAAGTTCAGAGCGCAGGAGGAATTCATTCCTCCAGCATGATATTCCAGGGAAGTGGATTCCAAATCTAAAGCTTACTACTGAAAACCAGACAATTCTCTGCAGGGCCAGCACCGTTCAACGCGCAACTCAAACCCAGCTAAAATCTGTCATTCCTTTCAAGGAAAAGTGTCTGTTTTCAGATCAAATTGTACCTGCTTGCTTGAAATTCAGAATTGGTGCTCTGCCCTCCTGTAAGGCACTGAAACTTTCCAGCAAGGTTTAAACAAGTGAATATCAAGCCCAGCCATCTAGATCTGGGACGCCATACTGACCAAAATATTTGCTTGCTAAGAACAAGATAGCATCAGATTCATGGAAATTAATGCAGTCACCTCAATGAAAACTTGGAAGAGCAGATGCATTCAAAGTTTTCTGTCCAAGCAGAATTTGCTGCTGAGCCCTATTACAATAACTGTTTACATCCTGCCTATGCATATCAAACAGGAGGCACATGAATGGATGCTTAGCGACAGCAGATGAACGCATCTAATAGATGCAGCCAGGAAATGAAGAGAGTTTTCTTCTTCTCACTTGTTTTCACTTGTTTTGTTGGCTCTATTATTATTTGATTATCACACATTATTGTATGTGCATGCAAGGGTTTTCATGGAGGAGGATGGAGAATGGTAAGTATTCCAATCCTCTGTGTAGTAGCTACAAGAGGAAATGCTGGTTCTTGATATGTCTGAGTATTAGAGATGTTTAGAAGACCAACCAGTTGCTGCAGTTCAGGGTCAAACACATGTTGGCAAATTTATGTGCAGGTAAATGACTCTCTAGTGTAATATAGAAGCCCTCAACTGAACACACTAAACAGGTAAGGAGAGGCTGTCAGGGAGAAGAATCTACTGTGCACAACTCCTAGGGCTACTCTTGCCAAGGTGTGGGGATAGCTAACCCCCAAACTGACATGAACTAAGAGTTAGTATTGCTCTCTGTCCCCAGATCCACATAATTAATCATATAATTCCTAGAACTGAGGTCCCTAAGAGAAATAACACTACGTAATACTGTGGCACCAGTGACAAAGCTGCATCTAAACAGAGAAGCAGCACATGGTTTTTACTTCCATGCTTCATCTCCATTGAACTGCAGACCTGTCAGGACCTCAGCCATGGTTACAGCCAGCCCAGCACTACATTTTTAAACACAAGGCTGAATTTTCCCTTCCTGACTTTCATTAAGCAGAGGTCACTGCCTATGCACAGCTCTAGAGAATAAAAGGGACATAAAAGGAACTTGAGTTACTCTGAGTGCGCCTACAGTAGCATGGTAATTTGGATCAGGAGCAAGCTTTTGAAGTGAAACTCTTCATCTTCCCCACTTAGAGCACTCGGAGCAGTCCTGGAGCATGGAAGCTGGACCCAGTTTTGCCTGAAACCAGAGCTGAGACGCGCTCCAGGACCACACTTGATGTGCTCCAGGACCACACCTGGTGTGCTCCAACTGTTGATGCCATGGGCCAGGCTAGATCTAGGCTAAAACCATCCCCCAGAACCCCAACAGTGTTGACGTCACGTCTTCATTAACAACTGCTTTGCACTACTTATATTGGGCCACAATACTTGCTAATGTAGCCAGAGCCATTCAGCCTTTTAAGGCCCTTTTACACTGTCAAAACAGCATGGAAAGGGCCTCTGTGCATTAGAAACCAGGCCCAAGGCACTCAGCAGTTGAGTATCAGTCTTCTGTTTTTTACATGAATAGTCCCATTGAAGTGAATGAGTTTATTCATTCAAGTGAGGCAAGTAAAATTTGGGCCATGGTGTGCACTTTGTGTAAAAATATCTGCAAAGATTTACAGTATTCCCACACACAGATAAGATTATACTTGGCCAATTTTACCTCCTACTTGTCTTGCACAGTGACCCAATTCTACAAACTGATAGAGGCACGTATCTCTAACTGAGCAGTGCTGGACACGGTGGGACTGGAAGTACAGCACATGAGCTCTTCTGTATTAGCCACTATAATACTAACATCGTCCTTGTTTTGCTTAATATAACAGAAACTTGGATGTGTTTTAGACAGAATCGTTTATATATTTTGGTGACATTTTTAAATGGTCACAGCATTTCCATATCTGTTAGCACTGGAAATCTCAGTGTAACAAGAACTGGACTCAAAGTATTTGAGGCTGTCTCTTTAAATCTGTTCAGTAATACTGAGCACACAGATTTGAAAACCCAAAGGACCTTTTTTTCTCTCGAAAATCACTATTTATTTAACATATGATAACTCTGTTATGAAATTTTAGATTTTGCAGGCTATCCACTGGATGTTATTTAAGAAGCAACTAACTAGGGGTTATTAAGAACATATTGATTGAGTTATAAGAAATATGTAATAAAGACATATTCGGTTACATAACAATTAACTCTGCATCAATGTGTCTTAAGAGGCAGATGGTATTTATTTAACACACAATAAGCATCTTCTGAAATCTAAATTAAATTGGAGAAACTTAATTTACCTAGAAATGGTTATGGGCTAAACAATTCTGAATTAATTTTCAGAGCTTCACATAAGGCCTTTTTCACACGTAGGGAATAAAGGGCTCCAGTTGCAAAACTGCAATTAAAGCAAACACTGCTCAGAGCACAAGACCTCTCTCTATCAACTCCTAATAGATTTGATTGCCTTTCCCTGTGTGAACCTGCAGTAAAGGTGGAAAACCCCATCTGAGCAGAAAAAAACAGCTATCTGCCTGCTCAGGTAAAGCATAAGCTGGCCACTGAACTGGTCACAGTGTCCTAAGCAGTGGAAGGCGTTTCATCCCTGATGGAGGCAGTGGCTTTCAAGGTGCTCCCACTGAAGGGAGCAGCAGCGCTGAGACAGCTCTTTGGGTGCTAATATGCTTGTAAATTCGGCCTCCTGTGATAGGAACTGCTACAGTGCTGAAGGACACTCAGAGTTTGCTCTCTTATAACAAAGCAAACAGCAGAGGAGGAACTCAAACAGGGCAGGTGAGTTAATGGTAACACAAGAAGGTCAGTCATTTAGGAAGTTCTTTCCTAGCATTCCCATGGCTCCTGTGGCTCATGCAAGCACTGCCTAAGAGTATTTAGATCTATCCAGTTGCTCAGGTCATCCTAGGGTAGACTTGCTCAGTGTGGTGCAGCTCTTGTCCAGAGCCCTACATTCATTTCATTCTTCATTATCGGTAGCACATAGCTGCGTGCCTATCGGACATGAACACATACACACTTACTCTGACCTACAGGCTCGACTTGGGCTGCAGGAAGATGACACTCACATGATACTCAAGGTTGCAGGTTTTTGACTGTGCCTTGCTCAATTCCCATCTCAGACCTGCAACTCAGGGAACGGGGCAGCATTTGTCCCCCTCCCCAGATGGCCACCTCCTTACCCTGTGAGACACCACTGCCTGTGAGCGAGAGCTGTCACAGGAGTAGAAACACGATTCACTTTGTCCTTGGAAAGGAAATGTGCAAGAGGAGGGGTGGGGGAGACGTGCAGGCAGAGCTGAAGCCCACAGGTATTTGTGAGCAGCAATAACAGCGGGAATCACAGGGCCTGAATCCTTGATTGAAAATTCCTCCCACAACATAAGGAGGAAGAAAAGATTTGCCCTTTACATGGCAAATCAATGGCCCTCAACCGAGTGCTACAGGCTGAGAAAGGAAGAGCAGAAAACAGATCAATAACCTCCTCGGTATGAGCCAATTTAGGATGAAGCCTTAATCCAGACTGAGCACAGCACATGATAAAGCTGCGCTCCCGGGCAGGGGTCCTGGGTTGTTTCCCTCCTTCTCCCCTTCCCATTCAATTCAGTGCAACAGTACGGAGCAGCGCGTGATCACCTTTCAAAGAAGTGGCCATCAATGGGTGGGAACCACTCCAGGGTGACAGAGGTGGAGCTCCGAGCCACAATCTGTGGGGCAATTGCAATAGGAGCTGGTTTCTTCGCAGGCTGCCAGCTCTGATAGACGAGGTCCAAGTAGCAATGCATCCTGGCCACTTGGTTGGGCGTGAAGGAGTTGGTGCAGTCATCATCTGAAATGAAAACAGAAGCCACATCACCCACAGGGGAGATAAGGGGTGAGAATTACAACCTGGTGAATTGCAGCTTCTTGCAAGGGCTGGGATGGGTTCTCCCAGCACTCAGGAGTTAATGGCCTGCGAACAAATTAGCGCAGACATCACTTGGGGAGGCAGGTGAAAGGAAACAAGAGTTAAAAAGGAAAACATAAATCAATACACGTGCCCTCCCTCAGGTCCGGGATATGTAGGAAGCACCTAGAGATCATCCCTAGATGAGACAGAGACATGGAGATGAAGAGACAGAAAAAGCCTCAGTGCAGCACCTTCTGGTCAGAACTGGGGATACCAGTGGACCTCTGGGCTTAAAAGTTTCACTTCTAAAATACCTCAGAGAGAGGATAAAAGGGTGAAGGATGGGTGATGTCAGGATAAAGCACTGACTGAGACTCATGCAAATGAGTGCAATAGACTTTAACACCTTTCTTAGATTAAAAGAACACAGAATTTTAAAATACATCACTTTAATAAAGTTCCTCATTTTTTTAATGAACAAATAAAACTGTTCCGAAAGATCAATTTTTTTAAAAATCATGATTAAAAACGTAAATTTGGAGGTAGGAAAATAACGTTACTTCTATTCAACATCTCCCCCATTACCATTATGATTCAAGCCCTTTCTGAGCTTTCCATAACCCTTTTTTTTTTTTTTTTGATATTTCCAATTTCTTTCTCAGTCAAAATGAAGAAATGATTTTGCTGGATAATTTCCCACAAATTCCCATTTCTCATTTCAACTGTTTTTCCCCAGACATGATTTGGCAACAAGAGCACATCTAGTGCCCTCTGCACACCACGCAACTTTACAACTACAATGCCCCGGAGAAGCAGCAAATTACTATTTCTCTATTGTGCAGATCACAGAAGGAATAAATAGGTTGTGCAAAGTCACCCGGAGACGCTGTGCTGAAGAACTTGATGCTTGCACTTGAACCATTTCTCTGGTTCTCTTCCCATCTGATGAAAAGCTCTTGAAAACACGGAGTGTTTCTTCCCATGTGCCTGCAGAGTTCCTAGCCCTGTGACGCTCGGTCCCAGATGGGACCTCTGCACGCTGCTGTGACACAAACAACAATGACAGTTTGGCACAGGTCAAGGAATACACTTTTCTGGGAAGATGCAGGTCACTGGAGGCTGCTCAGAGTTGTTTGCCTGAGTGTAAGTTGGCAGCTCAATATTGTAATAGCGTTACTAGATGCTCTGATTTCTTCAAGTCCGTGCCCTGTGCAACTCAAGAGGCACAAAACCCCATGAATTTGTTCTAAAGAGAAGTGTGAATTTGCTGGCTAATTTAAAACCTTGCCACATCTTCCCAGAGATGCAAGCAAAAGGAGACAGCTTCGGCTGGGATCCTGCTCAAACTACAGCCTCAGATGCAGCCCTACCACGGGAAGGACATGTCTGTTCGCATGTTCTCCTGCATCCCTCCTAATTCCACTGAGCAGTGAACCTCCTCTCATCAAACATACCCAGTAGATAGACAGCCACCACCAGCTTGAAAATATCTACAAATCCCTGTGGGTACGCAAAAGGCTGCTTTAATCTGACATCCCTGGATATCCTCAATAATTATCGATGGTCTACCCCTGAGCATGCTGTAAAAGCCATAAATATTCTTCACGGAAGCACAGAAGGAGACAAAAGCCCTTAACAGCCATCATAAAGGAACAATAAAGTATATATAGGACAAAGCAGTGAGACAATGGCATGGGAGAAAGATGACCTGCATTCCCAATCTGCTTCCCCATCAGCAAAGGCTGTGTCCTGGGGGAGGGAAGGGAGGAGAGGAGAGGGAGGAAGGTATTTCAATGAATCCCTCCATGACAAGAAGGGTTCAAGATCCTCAGATAAAGTAATAATTAGAGAAATTCAGGAGTCTTTGCTGGGATGATTGCTCCAACAGAATTCAGAGGCAGAATTCCTGCTGACTTCACGGAGGATCATCTAAAAGATTTATCTTTTTATTTGGGAACACCACGGCTATTTGGACTTGTAAAAATAATTTACAAGCCCAATTTCTTACATTCTTGATCTTCTGGACATCAAAACTTGTTATTTAGGGAAAGAAAAGTTACCCTTTAAATCAGTGCTTTGCTACACAGCTGGGGATAACTGGACAGATGCACATCAGACAAACACAATATGATCAAGCTGCATACAAGCAGCAAAACAGAAAGGCAAGGCGATGCTTAGAGCTACATGACCTCAACTAAATGTTTCAAAGGTATTTCTACAGCAATTTGATATCCTGGTATATTTTTATTCCACTGGCAACAACAGAAAACAACCCGATTCATGCATGAGCTCTAGAGATACCTATCATGTCGCTTCACTTAATTTTTCAAGACAAAAAAAAAGGCAGGTTTCTGCTCGGAACACCAGCACATATGGAGTTCCCAAGAGCAGATCCATATCTCTGTGGTCTGTCTCTGTCTCAGCTCTCGAGAGAGAATTGAGAAGGCAAGATCTCTTTGGAAGAAGAGACCTCAGGGTTTTGCAACAAGCACTCTCCACCCCTCAGCACACACCCCAGCAGATCTGGTGGATGGGGATTGTCATCTCAGGAGTTCTTTGTGCCATGTTACAGGAGGCTGCATCAAGCTCTAAGGCTCTGCCCCACAGTAAAGTGCACAGCATGCTGGGGAGCTGTCTCAGGGTGCGTATGCTTGTCCCTGAAAACACCCTCTAAACAAATAGGAAAATAAAGAGAAAACTAAGCATTGCTTTTAGCTAGGGCCACAGAGAGCATAAAAGCATTGCTGTTATAAATCATTTCAATCTGTGCCCCAGATGACATTAAACACTTCGCTTCTCTACACTTTTATTACAGAGTAAGCACTCCTATGACCTTTTGAGTGGGCAATCTGTGTTTTTGCCTAGTGTATAAAGGTGCCCTTCAGTGGCTATAAGGATATTGGTCACCTTTAAAATGCTGTCAGCTCAGTGTCACAGACCTTCAGCATGGCTTGACCCCGTGACCCAAAATAAGGGGAAATACAAGCTAAGGTATCCCTGGTTCTTTCTGGGAAATAACAGAGGATCATTCAACTCCCCTTGAACTTGCAGGGGTGCAGTAAGGCCCCCAGGCCACCCCTGTCCAACGTGAAGTATCACAGGAGCTCATGGATTCTTTGTATTACTCTCTGTTGGTAGGAGTGCCATGAACCAGCACCCCTGAAAAGCACAGCTGTGCCTATGGAAGTTATAACCTCAAAATCAGGTTTTTGCTTGAGTAGCTTATTCCTCTTGGAGGGGTGGCTCCACACAGTTGAAATGGAGCCTTTTTAGCTGCACTCCCAGCACAAACCAGCACAGCGTATTGGTGGGCTTTGACCAGAAGAGCATTCCTGACCAGGTACTATCCCAGTATATCCCACTCTAATGATGAAACTTGCATGAGCAATTCTAGCTGAACCACAGTGACTCCAAATCAAACAATAAACATGGTGTTTGAGCAGACACCTGGAGGCATGAGCAGTGTCTCATTAGATGTCTATCACAGATTTATCCTACAGCCTTGGTGGCATCAATACTCATCTGACACTCGGTATCGCCTTGGGAGAAGGTAAATCTCTGAATTTGGGGTTTCCAAAGAAGACCTCATAGATGAGGCATCCAGATCCCAGGGAAACAAGGTGTCAAATTTGCTGTAGAGCCTTTAGAAGCTGTTTTCTTAATGCTTATCTCATTTCTCCCCTCCCCAAAGCCTTCTGCCCGGGCTTCACATGAAACTGTGTAAAGTTGGGGAAAGGTGGGAAAGAAAAGAATAGGAGAACTGGAAGAGAGTCCTGAGGCCATCAAATCTGATCCTTTATCAAGCCTGCTCCTAGACCAAAGGACACAGGAGTCAGCATGGAGCCCCACATGAAAGGGACTGCAGAAATCAGAGGTAATACTTGTATTCTTTGCTCATGCCCAACCAGCAGCAAGCTGAGGAAACCCAAGTACCTGCGTAGCTCATGAAGTTACTGAAGGGAGTGTTTAGGAAGCTGTGAAAACCACACGTGTCATTGCCAGGGCCAGGATCCCCACACTGCTTGTGCTTGGGAGCGGGGTTGGTGTCACTGCAGAGGTCCCCAGTCTCAAAGGAGGGCTCTGTTTCCATGCACGGATCGCTGCAGGAGAGGATTTCTGAGATTCCCCGGAAGACGTGATAGAGCCCCAGGCTGTGCCCAATTTCATGGATCATTGTGTGTGTGTGGCCAGGGATTCCATAGAAGGAAGGATTCAGCACAATGCCACCTGTAAAGGGAAAAGAGAACAGCTTCTACATTTGCCTTATCTTACACAGAACAGCAAAGGAAGACAATCCCAAGGGCAGATCCTCTGGCAGTTCATCGGATCCTTTATAGCATGGGCTGCTTTTTGCACTGTCAGGCACATTGCCTGCTCAGAGAAACTGCACAACAAGGTTTAATCTCACCCTTAGACTGGGGCTCTAAGGAGAAAGAGCGATGGGACAAACCCAGTGTCCTAAACCAAAACCACAGTGGCAATTGGTCTTTTGACTGAATATCCTTAGTTTGGTTTGTGTTAATTTAAAGAGAAATCCTACATGCAATTGCTATGCAATTGCAAATAGTTTAATGTGCTTAAAGAGAATAATTCTGCCCAGATAAGTGTAAGCAATGTATTGATACCAACAGTCAAAGCATACCTGAAACACTCTCTGCATATTATTCCACAGGGTAAAGGTATAATAGAAGCCTATTCACTTCTGAAACACTCTAAAAACTGCAGTGAGTTGTACCAATGTTTGCAAACTAGGAGCTGGACAAAGAAAACAGCATACACCAAGGCTGGAACAGTTTTTGCAGGGTGTGCTCTAATCAGATAGACAGCTTTGAAGTAACTGTCACAAACACACTCTGCTCATACACCCAGACAAGGCTGGTTTGATCTGAACTGCACAGTCCACTAATGAATATGCATCAGTCTAATGTGTCAAAAACGATGGAATCCTGGAATGTGCTAATTCTAAAAGAACTCTGTGGTTGTTAAATGTGCGCAAAGAAAATCAAGGGTGCTTGTTTTTGTTGTATGAATTATGGGATGTGTAGATAAGCAAATGGTAAATTAGTGAGGCTCGACAGTACATTGAATTAATCATAATTATATTTTTAGCTCAGTTAGATGTACCTTCGGATTTATGACACGCTTCAGATTTTCTTTATTTAGCTTGTTGAGCTCACCTTTTCCAAGCCCTTTATTTAAAACTGTTTGTGTATACTGCCTTCCATGAGAACAGGACACTGCTCTGTAGAAGTGGGAGAATAAATCTTGGATATGGTACAGTACTAATTTAGTGACAATGAGGAGAGGAAAGGTTCTGGCAGGAGGAACTCTATCAGTGACTGCAGTGCAGGGAAGATGAGATCACCGAGTCCTGACTCTTCCTTCTCATCTGCCTGGACACTTGGTTGTAATAATCATGGAATTAGAGGAAAATAAGACTCAGAAGATCTTAATAAGTCACCTAAACTCCACTCTCAAACAACACAGGGCAAGTTAGGTCTATACCATCCCTCACAGATACTGCCCTAACATCTCTTTACAACCCCTGATGACATGACTGCCCCACCAGTCCATTTCAGCACTCAGTATCCTCGCGGCTGCAAGGATTTAACTCACATCTAATCTGAATTGATTTGTTGGCAATTTAAGTTCATGACTTCAAGTCCTGCCTCACACAGGTACAAAGAACAAAAGATTCTCCTCCCCTTTCATCAGATTTTATGAGATTGTCATCAAGCCCACTTCAGACTCTTTTCCTTCAGTCTAAATAACTAATACATTCAACCTTTCTTTAGTCCTTCCTGACTGTGGTTCTCCACTGGTTTTCCTTCCCAGTTGTCTCACATTTTCCTCCAAGTGTCCAAACACAATACACCTGAAATCTTATCAGTGCTGAGGACAGAGGCAAGACCCCTTCCGATGTCCTGCAGGGACCTATGCATAGGAACATAAGAAAGACTGTGTATGGGCATGTGTGACTACATGGACACAGTGCAAAGAAGTCATGTGGACATGTGTAAATACATATATAGTCTTTTAAAAAATGAGCTGAAAGTTTAAATACAGATTAAAAAGAGTGAACAAAATCAATCACACTGCAACAACTATGCTGCATGCAGCATCTGCACATCCCTTCCACAGCACTGAAATGCTCCTTTCGTCCATCCAAATTATATACAGCCTACCAGTACGTAACCACTTCAATCCCCCTTTATACAATCCATGCTCTGATTCCTCCAGTGCTTGGTCTCTACCCAGATATTTCAACCCAGAGAGTGTATTTTGTGAGGGTCTCTTTCCCAATGATAATTCCAGAGTTTGTTTTCCAATAGCAGGAGTATTGGTGGAATTCCTCAGCAGGATGTGCCTCTGAAAGCACAGGCTGGGTAAATGGTTCTGGCTCTGGACAGCCCCGAGGCAGCTGGAGACAGAGATTTGCTTTTTGCCTTTGTTGGAAAGTTACATTTTTCACAGCTGTCAAGAATCTAAATCAAGTGCAGTTTTACAGAAAAGATAAACTCCCTCACCCAGCCAATCTCTATCCCAGCCTTTAGATCTGCACCACAGGACATATTTCATATTTTTTTATTAAGGACATATTGGATTTATAGAAGAGAGTAAAAAAAGATTCAAGCTGAATTCTTACAGAGCAAGCACAGGTCTGGGAGGGCCATTTGGACAGGAAATTATGACCATTATTTATTTATTCTACTTTTTCCCCACTTCAAATCAACTTTAAACTGTTGGTTAATGTCTTTTTCTCCCATGAAATCTTGTCTTGGTCAATGGATTCTGGCAACACACTCTAGGAGCTGAGTTGAAACTGTTTTGCTGAGGCATGATGGTGACAATTAGCTTAATGAAGTGACAGAAGAACTCACCAGGGCTTTGGGCAGGCCCCAGCCCTCTTGCAGAAGGCTCTTCTTGGCGCTCTGGAGCTCTCTCCTTGTTCTCTTCTCCCTCCCATGGCAACACCAAGGGAAGCTGTGAAACTACTCATTATGGCAGGATCAGCTACGCTGCAGCCTTAGCTCACTCCAGCAGTGGCATTAGGGCTAATGTTTCCCACCAGCAAACCCATCCTTGTTGCACAATCAGAAGCAAACAGTTACTAGTGCAGGAGAAGGGAGTTGTGGTACTACAAAGTGATAGAAATCACATCAGTGTGGGTTCCAGCTGAGGCTGGGGTTAATATCTATCTCTGGTTTTGCCAGATGTTGCTGTGGGGGATGCTCACTGGCAGGCATTTATTCACAGCATCTTCTATTCTTGGTGCTCCAAGCAGCAGCCCATGGAGAAGGGGCTGGAGGCAAGTCAGAGTGGAAGTGGCTTCACTTCCAGCCTAGCTCAGCAGGAGACTGGATGTGTGTCAGTGCCAGTCCTTGGGAAGTTTGCTCGCAGTTCTGCCAGAGCAGCAGCAAAGTTGCATGTCACAATAAAGCATTCACTAACTGAGGTAGGGCAACGGCTTGATCCAACCATGGGGCTTCTCTCAGCTATGGTGACTATAAAGAGATGTTAACATCTAGGATTTGGCGTAATACATTTTTGAGCATGGAAAAGCCTCCCTGACTGATGGCTCGAGTTGTAGCTCAGCTCTCACAATATGCTTTAGAATAATAAACATCATATTTTACTCTCCTCGTCTAGCTTTACATTTGCCACAGCTTTTCTGTTTTGCTCAAGATGGGGCTGGGTAATATAAAAACTGGCTGAAACAGCCTTTCATAAAGCCTGAACTTGGCAGAAACTGGACTTCACTTCCAGCTTTGGAAGGTCTGGACAAGCTAGAAAATAGCTGGGAAATCTGTGACAATCCCTGCTCTTATAAGATGACCAGATGAGGTTTGTAGCCCGAGGGAGGTTTGTGCAGTTCAGAGAAGTACCTACACACTCAGTAGGTGCCTTCTGAACCAGGCTCATCTGGCACTTTGCAAGGAACACAGGTCCAGTGGCACTGCGGGTGTCAGGGCAATGAGTCATTTGGGAGGTTGTACAGCTTTGTCTGGATGCCTGGGTTCCAGCAGCCGTACTCAGCAACCTTGTTATGAAACATGCAAGGCAATCCACAGGGTTGTGAACTCCTTCTAGTTCCACTCAAATGAACATTAGAAATACAATCTCTCAGCAGTTTGCTCTTTTGCACATTGGTAGAGAAAAACAGCCACAAATTTCAGCTGCGAGGGAAATTAATTGAACACTTACTAAGGAATGAACTAAGGATCAGAACATAATAGGCTGAGGTTAAAAATTCACTTCTGTCTAGCATCCCCACACCTATCTCCCCAAATCTTCTTTGCAAAGTGCTCCCATGGAGTGAATGCCCTGTAAAGTAGCTTCACTTAAAAGGTGAAATACTTTCAGCTTGACATCATCTACAAATACCATAATATGCTTTGGGTTTATAACCTAATATTTTCCTGGTTGAGAGCCAGTATCTGGGAATCGTGAAATACTTTTTTTCCCCTGACTATATATTAGAGGAATGATAAGAAATCAGAACAGAGCTTAAAGCATATTTGTCTTTCCTTCTTAGTGCCTCGGAAGAATGCTTTACAAAGAAGAAACATCTTTATTGCTCACCTAGATGCATCAAGGCTTCCTTGTCCCAGGGCCAAGTTGCCACTCCAGCCAGCTCTTCCTCGGAGGAATTGGCAAAGAAGATGTTGAGGTGTGTGGATCCATCCAGTTTGAGGATGTTCTTCAGTTCGTTGACATCCAAGTATGCTCTGTAGGAAAAGAAAAGCATTTTGTTTTCTAAAGGTGACATGAAAAGCCACAAAGTATAGAAGAAGTGCTGCAATCCAGGCAAAGATCTTATAATATCCTGCATAACAGTCACCTGAGATATTTTAATAACCCACTCCCTAACTTTGATTGCTTTGCATTCATACAGTGAATCTTATACAAGGATATCAGGCCATTGATTAACTGAGGCCACAAAATCCAAGCTAAATACATAAAGCTGTACACATTCTGAAGATAAGTATAGGAATCTACTTATTATGAATGTAATTAACCACATATTATGGTCAGTAAATCTCTTATATCAGCAGTTACCTTGCACATTCCCTCTAGGCTGTTTATTATTGTTACCTCTAATTTTCCTTCACAAGTTTCACATCTTCAGGCTGGTGCAGCAACACACACCAGCTCACAAAGTTCCTCCTTTAGCACCAGCACCAGCCACTTGTAAGAGGATGCAGATGGTCTAACCTTGACACTGGATGCTTGGAAATTGCTATTTATTGAAAGCCAAGTTGTGCCAAAAGGTCTCCTGGCAAGACATCTCTGCAGGAGCGGTACCATACTGTGACATCAATTCCTAAGGCTCCTTAGGTGTTCCCCTCCCTGGTGAGCTGTATTTCTTCTTAGCTTTTGGTATGTCTGGAGGTTACAGAGCAATCTGCTTGCAGATAAGCCAATCCCTTAAGCCTAATGGCCATTGGAAGCACTCTTTGCACTCCTTTAAGGGAGGAGACTTTGTCGATACTGGAATAGAGGAGCTACTCACAGGGCATGCGCCATGGTACAACACTGCTTCCATTGGAACTCTGATGCACACAGAGTAAAGCTGGAGAAAGTGAAGCATAAGAGTAACCCATTGGTTCTCTGTTTCTAGCTCACAGTTTTGATATGAAGCATGCTAACACAAGATCTCAAACCCAGGTAAGATGCACTGTCTTCACTTGACAGGTGGAAACAACAGAGAGATCACACTGAGTCAAGCACGGCTGTCTAGCTTGTAAGGAAAGGACACCATGATGGTCTTGAGCAGGTTGATTCCTGCTTCCTAAAGTCCCCCTCTCCATCTGTGTATGGGTGTTCATGGGGCTCACACAGCTCTCACAAACCAAACACATTCAGTGAATAGGGTTCCTTGCATACTTTGCAAGGCTTTCGTTCCCAGAAGGGTGAAGAAAAAATAGGGGACTTGGATCAACACCAAGATCTTTCTGTCCTTCCCTGGAGGACTCCCCAATGGAAAACACATTCATATTTCCACAATAGCTTCCCCTGCCACTTGCTGAAGTCATTGCCTCCAAAATAGCACACGGCTGGGTGTCCCCAGGCCCTCGCTGACTCATGGAGGAAGACGTGCTCTTTGGGGACCCCAGTGGAAGGGTATGTTTCCATTCCATACAGTGTTTATCTTCCGATCAGATGTGGATGACATCCTGAAGGACAGGTCAGCACTGTGACCCCTTACACATTTCTCATCTCTCCACTGTTCCCAACACATCTATGGAAAACACACACATCTTCCCCTTAGCTCCTCAAGCCTGTTCTGCATGTATCTGCAGAACCTTCTGAGGCTGTGTGTAATCTATGTCCATGATCTTCTTTGTGCCTTTGAAAACACCTCTTCTAAACATGGGCTCATATGTGTCCACAAGCAACAGTTTGAGATTACATGAGAACTAATGTACATTTCCAGACGAAAGCATAAGTGCATTGGGACAATATGTGATGGAGGATGCACGCATGGGAAGGGGAGGATGTGTATGTGTACGTGTACGGTAGCATCAGTAGAAGACAGTGAGCAAAAGCGTAAGAGACAATGGCTGAGTGGTGTGATGCTTTGTGCAAGAAAGAAAAGGACAGAAACAGAAGCACTGTGTATCTCTAAGTAGAAAAACGTTTGTATGTTTTGTATCACAGTGGGAAAGAAAGGCCTGTATTGAGACCGTGGTTGTTGACTCTGGATGCAGGCACTCCATGGCCTATGCAAATCCCTGTAGGAGTAACTATAATCAGACTCCCCTCCTGAGATTACCATTTTTATCCCCACTCTTCTCTTATGGTTTCAAATAATCTAAACTAACATTTCTTTATTCTCAGCTGTCTCTTTGCTTATTGTTTACACGATCCCATCCCCATTTATAGCCTCAGTGCATGGCCACAAGGGCTCCCTCACTTGCACACAGGCTCTGTGCTTCAACATCTAGGTACATGGATTATTACTGCAGACAACATCCAGAGCAGGCAGCATTTAACTAATTGTTAAATGATGTCAGTGCATCACTGAGACTGAACTCCTCTTACGTAAATTCACCAACTCAACTGGACTTGGCTTTATGGCATTTCTCTGACCACCATTTCTCTGCCAGCCAATATAAGTCTGCAAATGAATATATTCAGAAGGTGTAAGAACAGAATGTCCAGAGGATTTTTAGCAAAGGGGCTGCACAGGACTAGGTGTAGGCAGATCATGTTTGGGAGGAAGAAAGCGCAGTAAAAGCAGTCAGCAACCCCCAACACATAAACATGCTCCAGCACTTAGCTCAGGCAAATCCCTTGTAAGCGTGTGGACATGTGCCTGCATGTGCGTGCATGAGCTGAGGTGTGAGTGTGTAAGCAAGGCTTTGGATTGTGCACACATGCGAGACAGCCAAGAGTATGCATGCAAAGGAACCAGCGTGTGTGTGTGTGTGTAAGAGATAAAAACACGAGCTGGAATTCTATCCTCTCCTTCCTCCCCGTGTTTCTAATAACCTCCCATCCCTATCCATCATCACCACATTCCTACACTCAAGGAGGCATAAATTAACTACTTTTGCAGTTCATGTCCAACTACGTAGCCGCAGGCAGCAGACCCAACAGTTACCAGGTCAAAATAGCTTTCAGTTATTGCATTGGATGAGGCTGCCTCCCCCCTGCTGCCGCGGCTGCTTTGTTATCAGCCCAGACTATCTGACCCAATGCAATCTGCGAGCGCTGCTTACACTTCTCAAGGTTATGTGGGTCCCCTGATAGAGGACATAATGTCTGTCACATGGGCTCGTGCCAAAGAGAGCCAAAGAGCCCAGCCTTTCCAGCACTGCCAAACTCGCATTTCAAAGACATGAGTGCAGTCTTGGAAAGCGATCAAAGCCTTCCCAACTGTCATTAGAATATTTCCTTTATGCATCTCTCCGTGAGTGCCAGCAACATATTTCATAAAATTCATTGGCTCGAGATGGTACCTCCAATATAAACCTGAATGGGGGAAACTGTCAGGGCAAGCCTATGTGGAAAACAAAACAGAACCCAAAGCACAACAAAACACGTGTAATTCCTGTAATGGAAAAAACATACGATGCTGGATGCTGTGAGCGTGCCTCGCTCAAGAAAGCCTAATGAGCCTATTAGTGCATCATAAAAGGTCTCGTTTGCAGGAATCTGGTTTAGACATAGAAATTCTATGGGCTGTTTAAGGCCATTTGGGACACCAAATCATATCAGGCAATGTGCACATTCCCACCCAGATCTTTTCATCGACTTTTTTGTCCAATGCACAGCTTCACTTTGCTTTTTTCCCTCCACTGCAGTGTAAATGGCCCCCTGGAACTCTACAGCAGCTCGCCCTCATCCAGTAAGCCCCAGACCTCAATCAGTAATATGCATCCCGTGCAATGCTCCAGTTTCATTCTAATGGAGCCTTCAGCTCATCCAGCAGTGTCTCGCCACACAGCCTGCCCCATCAGTCACAGGAGCCATTAGCCCCATGCCTGTCTCATCTGTCAAACCCATTTCCTGCCCATTTGGGCTGTGGCTTTGCTGGAGCAGGGCTCATTCCCAGGCAGGGAGGTGAAGCCCACAGGCTTTAGCTCCATGGTTCCATGAAGCTCCCTTCTGCTGGATCCTCAGCTCCAAAGCCAAGCCCAGCTATGAATCTCTGCCACTTCACTACAAACACATTCAACAATGGCTTTTAAACTCAGTGGGTATCCAGTCTAATCATATTAAATCTGGCCTTGGTGGCTAGAGTCGAGCAGTTTTGTAACTGGGTTGGAAACTTTTCCTCCCCATTTTCTTCCAGGTCAGAGAGTGGCTTTCCCGTGTTTCCCCAGTGTGCCTGGGGTGTAGCCTCTTGCACTTGTGGTTGTTTTTGCAAGGAACAGAGTTTTCCAGCCCTTATTGTTAGGAAATGTTTTCTACTGTTTGCTCCCAGTTATTCCCTATTTGACTTTGTTTTGGCTTTTTTTTTTCCTTCAAAGACAAGTGTCCCTTTACAGCAAGAAAACAAACAGGGTACTTAAGGGATTGTTTGCAAGACCCCACCCAAGCACAGAGTAGGAACTTTGCTATCTGCTCACTATGGAGTACGGTCTCCAACTGCCTGATGAGTTTGTTAGGAATAAAAGGCACTGCATTTCACAATCTGAAAACAAAACACCCAAACCAATGCAAAACAAAACCCCACAGCATCTTCTGAATTGGGAAGTCAGCCTCAAAATGTCTCCATTTAAGTCTTGACATGCAATATCCTACCCTTTAGGTAGTGAGTTCAGCATACTGTAGGACAGATTTAATCTGCTGGAATTAGGGACCAGTATATTGCTCTCCTTCCCAAGACTCCTTGTTTCTGCTTTCATTTGGTGCTCTCCAAAGAGATGTCAGCCCAGTTTAAACCATAGAATACAGTTTAGCAGACAAAGAGGAGGCTTTTCGGGACAGCCCTGCAATGCCTGTGGCAGATCCAGGTGTGGTTTCCACCATAGTGTGGCTGATGTATCTCAGTCGTGCTCCCTTCATCCCTCCAGCTCCAATCCTGGTCCCAGGACTGACACTAACACGTTAGAGCAGTAAAGAGCACAGCAGTCAGGATGTGGACAGGCACTCACCAGCAGCCCTGTTTGTTCAAGCAACATGGGGGCACAAGGTTTTAGGGTGCAGAGTCCACCTAGAGATTTTCCATATCTGCAGTGAACAGCAAGAACAGCTTTGAGATACATGATGCTCTTCC